GCCTGGGACGGCTCTGCATAATGTGAGTGACAGTCTGTTCTGCCCTATCTTAACTGTCTTCATACAGATTACACTACGTTGTATTTTATTTTATGCTTTTAGATATTACCTGATTATACTGACAAGCTCAGGTTGTATTTTTGCATATTTACTACTATTTCACTTTTTGTGGTTTGATATAAATTTTGTCTTTGTTATACACACACACATAGGCTCACTCACTAGCAGACACACTCACAAACACACAAGGCAAGCCACCAGCAGGCACACACACACAAGCTCACTCACTAGCAGGCACACACACACAAGCTCACTAACAGACACACACAAGCTCACTCACTAGTAGATAGACACACACACACACACACAAGCTTACTCACTAGCAGGCACACACACACACACACACAAGGTTACTCACTAGCAGGCACACATACACAAACCCACTCACTAGCAGGCACACAAACACACACACACACAAGCTTACTCACTAGCAGGAAACACAAACACAAGTTCACTCACTAGCAGGCACACACACACACACACACAAGCTCACTCACTAGTAGATAGACACACAAGCTTACTCACTAGCAGGCACACACACACACAAGTTCACTCACTAGCAGGCACACACAAACAAGCTCACTCACTAGTAGACAGACACACACACACACACACACACATAAACTTAATCACTAGCAGGCACATGCTTACACAAGGTTACACACTACCAGGCACACACACAAGGTTATTCACTAGCAGGCGCGCACACACACACAAGCTCACTCACTAGGAGGCTCACACACACACACAAGCTCACTCACTAGCAGACACACACACAGACTAACTCACTAGCAGGCACACACACACAAGCTCACTCACTAGCAGACACACACACACAGACTCACTCACTAGCAGGCACACACACACAGACTCACTCACTAGCAGGCACACACACACACACACACACACACAAGCTCCTCACTAGCAGACACACACACACAGACTCACTCACTAGCAGGCACACACACACACAAGCTCACTCTACTAGCAGGCACACACACACAGACTCACTCACTAGCAGGCACACACACACAGATCACCTACACTAGGCAGGCACACACACACACACACACACACACACACGCTTCTCACACTCAGTACAGACACACACACAGACCTCACTCACTAGCAGGCACACACACACACAAGCTCACTCATCACTAGCAGACACACACACACAGACCTCACTCACTAGCAGCACACACACACACACAAGCTCACTCACTAGCAGGCACACACACACAGACTCACTCACTAGCAGGCACACACACACAGACTCACTCACTAGCAGGCACACACACACACACAATCACTGCCATTTTGTGGCCTCTTCCTTCCAGCGATGTCAGCAATGTGTTATGGATGTTATGTTTGGTTTACATGCAACTAACTCTATGGTTTATTTTCTATTGCACGTGTTTCCTGTTGGGGTGTGTACTTCCTTCCTGTATCTCCTGAAACATGGCTGCTATACACTAATAGCTTGACGTATCTTTATTTATATCTCCTTAAACACAATATGTGTGGGGGCGGGGCTTGTGTGCGGGAGGCAGAGCTATGTGCAGGAGGCAGGGCTTACCAGTGGGGGCAGGGCATGTGGCCAGAGCTGATGTACATTTTGAAGAGAGACTGACAGGTCTCCCTCCAGCCACCAGCAGCCTAATTCCACCAACCCCCAGATGCTTCTTCTTAACTCCTCTGGGACTGACACAAGCTGACACAGTCCGAGGGGAAATATTTAAATGACATGAGCCTGATGATTTGGGCTGTCTCCCAGGTGCCATGGCCCACTGGGAAATTTCCTGTTATCCCGGTGGGCCAGTCCGGCCCTGGTGCTGTGTCCCTATTGCACTTAGTGCTGCAATGTAAAACATTGCAGTTCCAGAGAATCTGCAATGTTTACTTTGCAGCCCTAAGACTGCCCTCAGTGGCTGTCTAACAGACAGCAACTGGGGGTTTAACCGATTTAACCTATTAAACTTAGTGCCAGGAAAATGTCTATAGGATACCTTTGAGACCGGAGTAGCCAAACTGATTGCATAGCTGACTTTGAGAATGTATCCAGTTCTGCTATTTTGACCTTAAATGTGAAATTCACTTTGAATTCTCACTTTAGTTAATAACCCTGTAATTGAATTTTAAATCCACCAAATATATATATTTTGTTTTACATTCTTGGGATGTTTCAGTTATTGGCCATCATTGTTTTACAAGTGAGACAATAACAATATTGTCAGAATGCTCTCTATTGTCTTTTGTTTAACCACATAACACATATGGAGAGTTTGTTTGTATAGCACATTCCTGGATTCCAGCAGTAGGAACACAGCACTGCTACAAAAAGTGATCGCAAGAGGCTTGAAAAGGATGCGACTAACCGATTTTGAATGTCAGAGTAATTTGATGTAAAGACACGCGACTATTTACAAGTGCTTTTGTAGTCCTGGACAGATCCTGACATCTTGGACAAATGTTTAAGATATATATTTTCAGGATTCTCACAAAACAGGTTTGAATCATAAAAGGTGAGCACCTGAAAACCTAGCTGCAGGTATAAATAACCATCCTGTTTTTCATAATATAAATATGCTGTCCTGAAGAAAATAACCACTTACTCAGATAAATCTAAAACTAGGGGACCTTTGCATATCTTAATCCAGAGGTGCCCAAAAGGTAGATCCCCAGATGTTGCAGAACTACAACTCCCATGATGCTTTGCATTACATTAGAACACCTTTAGAACGGCAAGGCATCATGGCAGCTGTAGTTTTAAAACATCTGGAGATCTACCATTTGGGCACCTCTGTTTAATCACTCTGAAATCAAAATTAGAAACTGCAATCTTGCTTATCTCAGATTTTAGACTGTAATACATTTCATAAACCTTGAATGGTTTCTTTAAAAAAAGTTTTTGTTACATATGTGTAATACTTAAAATGGAACACGAGGTAAGAATATTTTGACTACTTGTATAATTCTTTAGAAACACCACATGAAATCTCATGCCTTTTTGCCTGCCCAGTCCTTAATTTATACAAATTAGTTTCTGTTCAGAATGTATAACATACCTCCCAATTTTTCAAGTGGTCAAAGAGAGATACTTTAATTTTACGTGGGGAAGCGGGGGTAGCCAGGGACGAGGCAGTTCTGTGAAATTTTGAGTGACTTTTTAGTAACAATTTATGCAACTAAAATGTAATTTAGAACAAGAACAAAGTATCATAGTTACAAAGACTGGTTTCTAAAAACATTTATTGTTTAAAGACTCATTCCTGTGAGTATTAGTGCTGTGGAGCTCTGTTATAAACTCAGATATACCAACAATATGGAGCTACTAGTAAAATGGGACATAGGATAAAAAAGAGGGATATATGGATTTGTGCATAAAATAGGGACTGTTCCTCCTAAATACGGACAGTTAGAAGGTATGGTATGACCGTATCTAATTTTGTCTAATTTGCAAACACTGATATGTGACTTTCAGTGCCGTAGTGGACGCCAGTGATAGGCTGTGAATGTCAGCTAAGGTCCCTCTGCCTATCCAAATACAGACAAAAATGATATTACTAATGTCAGTTGCCAACTTCTGCATTAGCAGTACAGTTGGCATGGCATCTGGCTGCAAGAGGCTGGTCCAGTGGTATTGACACAGAACAGGAGATGGAGCCTTCCAGTACCATAACCGCTACAACTGATTTTAGTATTTAGGGTGCTAAGACTACCCATTTAAAAACCTCGCCCTCCAAAACTGAGAGAAATGCAGTTGGGGCAGGGTGGGGGCCAGCATTAGAGGGCCTCTTGCAGTGGAGGTATGTCCTAAAGAGGGGTGTTACATGGGGCCTCCTTAAAAAAGGGCCTGTTGTGCTGGCCAGTAGTTTTCATGGTTGTCCATGTGTAGAGCGTTGTTGAAGCTCTTTGATATGAAGTCTGAAATATTGACTCTCCCACCAAATGTGGGACAGCTGGAGGTTATAAATAAAATTAAAAAACTGATTAATGTGTTTATTCATTATACAGCATATTGTAGATGTTCAATGGATATGAACATCATATTTTCAGGGCCATTCCTGACTCCTAAAGCTTGCTGATATGCTTTATGTGTGAAGAGTGTGTCCTTTTTTCATGTAACAAAAAGTGCAGCTTTCAGTAGAAATTGGCACTTTTATAAATTAATCTTGTTATACCCCCTGACTGTCAATCAGACAGCTGCTCCTGTTACTTCCTGGTTTGGTTAAGTCAGTGGAACTAAACACAAGAGGCAGCAATTGCTCTGGGGACCTGTCTTGCAAAAACTTCTCATTGAGCTGCATTCGGAAGTCTGTGATTGTACAGCCATATGGGCTGGATTTGAAGGGGAGGGCTTGTAACTAGTGCAGACTAGCAATCTCAATCTGCAGCTTTTGCAAATTGTTTTTAGATATACCCCCAATGAATAAAATGCATAATTGAATGTATGCATATATTCATGGTGGGATATCTACTAAACAGTGATATTTAATTTGGCAGTGGAGTGTTCCTTTAAATATCAAAAATGGAAACATTTTATAAGACAAACTATTTTGGCATAAAATTTTTAATCGGGGTGTTAACTACCCACAGCTCCTGATTTAGTGCAAGTTGAAATCAGTAGAAATTGCACAAAATAATTTAACTGACATAGCTTTGGGGGAGGGAAGGGGGTGGTTGTGTGTGTCTTTAATATGCTAAGTTTAATCATTGCATTCACATACTGCCAAATGGAAAATATGGAATCCTGAGTTCTGAGATTTGTATTGCTGTATGTGTAACTGCAGTGATTTACCTGAGCCTCCCTTCCCCAAAGTACTCTTGTAAAACCCCAGTTGACATTCGATGTGCCTTTAATCCCCAGAACATGGACTAAACCACTGGAATGTTCCGGGGTGTTTAATGATTCCACGGGTATTAAAGTATTCCTGCTCATGGAATGTGGCACCACCTCTGTTACTGACCACTCCTCGCCTGTGACAGTGGCTCTGTGTGCAGCCTATTGTACGGCTCGGCCTATACCACGAGCGCCCGTTAGGGGGCAGCATAGCGCCTCTAGCCCTATATTCAAACTGCCTGCAAACAAAAGAGGGGAAAAAAGTACAAAGATCAGGAGCCGGAGAGTAAGTGAAGGAGATCAGAAGCCGGCTGGCAGGGAGCTGGAGCCAGTGGCAGCAGCAGCTGCAGTTTGGGACTCTCTCTTACCATCACTTGCTGCTCTCTCCTGGTGGAGCTGCACGCCTGTCATGTGCCAGGGATCAGGGGCTCCTGCCAGCTGCCCCTCCAGCTAGGAACCTGCCCCCTCCAAGGAGCCGTGGGAGTGAGCACTCATATGGGGTGAGACTGAGCTGCACTCAGCAGGCATTGTTATATTGTGTGTGGGTGGAGGAGAGGGGGTGGCATTGGGGGGCTAGGGGGCTGCACCCCATTATCAGAGGTGCTGGCATGCGGGCATGGTTTTGGGACTGAGCTAGTGAATGGCTTCTACCAGGATATTGAAAGATAAGGGGGTCCTGAAGGGCTGCTATGTAAGCTTGTATACAAGGTGATGTGACCATATGGTAATAGATGTAGGGAAGTTAGACTTAGTATTATTGTGGGACAAAAGGGTCAGCATGTATAAATTAGGGTTAGACAGGTCCTGCCAGCCCTTTACTGGTTGCTTGGCTTCAACTCCTATCATGCTCAGTTAGATCTGAATTAGTCCAACCATCAAAACCCAAGTATGTTGGGACTAGGCATGTCCCTACCAGATGTGGCCGCTGCTGGACTACAAGTCCTATCATTTATTATTATTATTAGTATTTATATAGCGCCATCAGATTCTGTAGCGCTGTACAATGGGTATTAATGAACCTCAAACTTCAGGCGTGTGTAGTTCCAAAAAGTTGTTGTTGTTTGACTATAGTACTCATCATCCTGACAGGGCAATAGGGATTGTATATTTTGCAGGGTTTGCAAAGTATTTGCATTTGTACTGCTCTAGATGTTCTGCAGCAGCTGTGACTAACAAGTAGAAATACAACTCCCAGGATGTTTAGAAGAATTATGTATACAGCAATCAGCATTATTTTTTTTATTTTTAATTTTTTTACAACCTGTGGAACAATCCCTGCAATTTGCTAACTACTTCATTCTGAATAGGAAACCGCTTTAGGGTGACTTACTGACTGACTGTCATGGATACTTCACGTTATCAGTGATTTTCTGATTATGAAAAGTTTGCAGATCATTGGTTTATGATACAGGTTCCTGTTTAAAATTGCTTCTAATGGAGACGTGCTGTAGAATGGGTTTCCCCCCTGCCCCCCCCCATTCCCCCATTCCCCCATTCATGTATCAGTCATACCAGTTTTGGGACATAATTATATGATATTTAAGGAATTTGTGGTAACATATCCTATGTTAAACAGCATGCTGTACCAGGAAGGAACCATAGGCCTTATGTGAATTAACTACAACCTACAATTTTGCAAACTAGAATTGGGAAAGTTTGTTAAATGTCATAGCGTTACCCATACCAATTTTGTTTATTAATATACATGATAGCACTGTAAGGTCACGAGACTGGCTCTATTTGGATGAAAAATTCAAACTAGAAAGATTTTTTGTTGGCATCAGTGTTCTCCTAATCAGTCATTTTGTCGTACATATCCCCAATCTGATCTAGAAGTTATTTGTTTTTATTCCTGCTGACACATTTGGTTAAAAAAAAAAGGGAGATCAGGGGGTTTATATACTAAACATTGACTTGAAAAACAAGTAAGTGAGTTTGTAGATTCTTCTTTTCTTTCATGTTCATCTATTTTGGGCTAAATTTAGCAAACTAGATTATCAGGTTAACACAATCCACTGTTTAGTAAATAAATGACCAGGTAACAGTGGAAGAAGTGTATATGTTACGTTTCTGGGACCTGCATGCAGCAGCAAAAACTGCACACAAGAAATGAAAGTTCTGTGTTGTAGTATGCATGTGCTGTCTTTCACAGAACATTATAGTTTGGTTTTGTAGGTACAGCGTAGAGTACTCATGGCTATGTCAGATTTCAGATTTTCAGACTGTTAATGTGGTTCAACTGCAGAGAATTGTGGCAACTTTAAAAAAACTATGAAAAGCTACAGTTTGCGATAGCCTTAAAGAACCATAAGCATTTCATCTTAATGAATTGGTTATGGTGCCTGGAGTCCCCTGGCACTGTGCTCTATTCGGTGTTAAACATGTTTGAGCCGTTTAAAACTAAGTAAGAGTCACTGGCCTGCCTAGCCCTCAGTGGATGAATGACTAAGGCAGATTACATACTTCCTTCTAGTTGTACCGATTCATACCAGCAATGGACACTGTGATAGCTTTCGACCTATCAGCTGACACACTTTGCCAATCACAGCTGCCCATTGCTGCTCATGTTAATGCTTTCTCATTAGCCTTCATAACCTAGAGGATGGGCTGCTGTGGACTCTAGTTTAGCATTCAAACATTGAAAACGGTTTCACTCTGAATGGAAGGACAGAATCAGTAGACACTAAAAGCACTTTATTGAGATGAAACTATTCCAATGCCTAGAGTATCCATTTAAAGGGAAAGTCCAGTGCCAGGAAAACAATCCGTTTTCCTGGCACTGCAGATCCCCTCTCCCTCCCACCCCCCAATTCATGGTTGCTGAAGGGGTAAAAACCCCTTCAGTAACTTACCTGAGGCAGCGACCATGTCCCGCGTCGCTGATTCTTCCTCCGCGCCACTCCTCAATGTGATTGCGTCGGCCGGTGGGCGAGACTGATCCCGCCCACCGGCCGGGGAGACCTAATGCGCATGCGCGGCACTGCCGCGCATGGGCATTTGCGCTCCCCATAGGAAAACATTGAAAATGCATTTCAATGCTTTCCTATGGGGAAATGAGCGACGCTGGAGGTCCTCACACAGCTAGAAACCAGGAAGTGCCCTCTAGTGGCTGTCTAGTAGACAGCCACTAGAGGTGGAGTTAACCCTGCAATGTAATTATTGCAGTGTTAAGAGTAGTGGGAGTTGGCACCCAGACCACTCCAATGGGCAGAAGTGGTCTGGGTGCCTGGAGTATCCCTTTAAGCATTGCTGATGTTTGTGTACTATGTCACATGTTTATCAAAGTGATCTGAAAAGCATCTTTTGGAAAAGTTACAAAAGTAATAAATAGTGGGAAAACCCTGTCCAAATGTATCATTTACACTCGAAAAAGTGCAGATTGTTTACCGGCAGTATGATAAATCTCCCTGTATATTATTATTATTATTATTATTATTGTATTATTTATATAGCGCCAGCAAATACCGTTGCGCTGTACAATGGGATATAGTTGCATAGCTGAAAAGAGACTTGCGTCCATCAAGTTAAGCTTTCCTCACATTAGTTTTTTTGCGGTTGGTCCAAAAGAAGGCAAAAAAACCTAGTTTGAAGCACTTCCAATTTTGCAACAAACTAGGAAAAAAATTCCTTCTTGACCCCAGAATGGCAGTCAGATTTATCCTTGGATCAAGAAGCTATTGAAAAATTATATCCTCGAATATTCTGTTTTTGCAAGTATGCATCTAGTTGCTGTTTGAACATCTGTATGGACTCTGCTAAAACCACTTCTTCAGGCTGAGAATTCCACATCCTTATTGTTCTTACAGTAAAAAAAACTTTCTTTTGCCTTAGGCGAAATCTTAGTCAACCAGTGAACTAGCCCTATATAGACTGTAGGGCATAGCCTTGGAGAGTTAACAGAAACTCCTGCAGTGTGGTGGTTATGGTGGTTGGAGTGTTCACTTAAAGGTGAAAGCATTAATAGTGGCATTCTGTCTGACACCCTCCAGAGGCATGTTTCTAGCTAAATGCCTAAGACTAGAGACATACAAATAATGTGGTTTTTGATCTTGGGGTGTTCCTTTAAGTAACAATTTTATTTTTTTTAAAGTCTTCTAGTACCATTTGTACATCAGAATCAGTGATACAGCTGTGAGTAATAATTGTACAGGGTCTTCTAATTTATACATTGACACACCCTTAAAATTTGACTCTTGGGTCACTGACCTCAACTCCACTTTTTAGAGGGATTAAGTAAACTTGGTATGAGAAAGAAGCTATTCCCTTAACTGTTTATATGCATAAACAAACAGTGGTTGCCATATTTTCTAAAAAGCGCAACCTATACCTTTTTTCACTGGATATTTTACAGGGTATTTTTTTTTTTTTTTTGAGGGGGCAGGGAACTTGACCTTAAATTTGAAATTTACTTTTATTTTTTCTCCATTCTCACTTCAGTGAATAATCCTTTATAAAAATAATTTTACTTTAAATTGTGTGGTCTGGTGTTTTAAGTCTATTTCTGTTGTCATGGTTTCAACGGGTTTGATATTATTAATAATAATAATATTATTTATATAGCGCCAACAAATTCCGCAGCGCTTTACGGTGGGTGGAAAAACTGTGTTTTGAGTATCAATGTAATGTCTCATAGATAATGTATTTTTCCTACACAAATTATGAGGTGTTTGTTTGTTTGCTTTTAGTTTCTTTTACCCAGGCCTGAGACTTTTTGTTTGTTTTTAAAGGGTTACTCCAACAACCATTACCAATTCAGTGACTTGAAGTGGTCATGGTGGTAGGAGTCAGTGTGTGCTTTGTTTCTGCTTAAAACCCTACACATGCTGAGTTACTGTTAATTGTGTGATGGGGGCTAGTTGCAACCCCAGCACACAGACATTGATAGCTCAGAACTTCCCAGATGCCAATCTTTGCATACAATATGTCTGTCATCAGCTCTGCCTTCTGCTGACAGATGTCATGATTTTTTACTTGCAGGCAGAGTGCCTGCAAGGGGAATATTGATTTCCGCTCCTAGCCCCCCTATCCCATCTAATATTTGTTTCCCCTGCCCTCCCTTCTCCTACTTTACCTCCATCTCATCTCCATGCTGGCTCAGAGTATGAGCCTGTGCTCTGAGCTATTTAAATACTTCTTTATGAGAAGCCTTTGATTGCACCTCGGCCCGGCTCCTGTGATGTCAGATGCGGAATGTCCAGTATAGCTGGATTAAGGTATGTAAAACCTTACTTTAGAATGCTTTTAAAGAGTTTTTTTTGGCAGGGACCATGATGAATAATTCCAATAGAGCATTATTCTCTGGAAAATAAAACGGGTTGAAGAAGCCCCTCAAAGGAACACTATATAGAGTCAGGAACACAAACCAGACCCTATAGTGTTAAAAACGCCATCAAGCCACTCTGACCC